TAATTTATCAGTTTCTTATAGATTGTCAGCAGCCTGCTGCCTCCATACCGCCACACGGCTCACAACTAGCCAGGGGGCCAGATTGCCAGACTGTCAGGTAAACTTAACTAACTCTCTTCTCTTTGCACATAGCTGCATGCAGGTCTGCAACCCCCTCCTCTTCCTTATACAAAAGCTCTTTGCTACACTTTGTCACTAACAGGAAACTTCTAACAGCTTGAGGAATGGTGATAATTTCTGCAGTGACAGTACAAATGTGAATCACAACATTCATGCACTTAGATCCATATGAAAATATAGAAAAGAATTTTAAGTTGCATAGTATAGTCCTTATTTGGTCTTTTAATGTGCTTTTTGATGATGTCAAATAGTAATGATTTTATTTTGTTGCTTGATAGATCTAATTAAATGGGGGACTTTTCATTTTAGGGGTAGGTGTAGGCTTCCATTTTGTAAGGTGGCATTTTAAAGGCATTTGTGAGCCCTTCCTTGTCCTCTGACAATCTCTCCTGGTATGACACGTATGCTTTCAGTCACATGGTGATGCTAAATGAGGCAGATTAAAGCTCTGCCAAGCCCTGAAGTCACCCATTTTAAGAGAGGTATGCTTGGTTTTGAAGTCTCTAACATTACTCTTGCAGTAATGTGACCTCCCAGTGGCATTTCACCCAGAATTAAACAATAGCTTGTTAAGACTAGTAATTCACACAGATGTTTTGTGCATCCTGTAGTATGTCTAATTGTGTTCAAGCTAGTTAATATGCCTGACCACAATACAGATTCCCACTGAACTTCAACATCAAATACTGAGAGATTTCTCTCATCCATTATCTATACTGAATTTTAAGTGGGGCTTGTGTAGCTCTGGATTTTCTAGTAGTTGTGATTCCAGCACGTAAGCTTTGGTGAACCTCATGGGATAAGCTATGAACAGATTCAAGCCAAATGAAACTCCAGGACACATCTAGTCAATTTATTTTGCTATACATCTGTCTTTTTGCCTAAATCTGCATATTTCAACTTGAACCTGATCTGGAGAGTCTGTGACAACTTTTGTTAAGAGACTTTCTAAGTAAACTGATGCAACAACACATGCAAGTCTCACTTTGCCTTCTATGCATCACCTCAATAACTAGTTCCAGGAGTATGGGGCAAGCAACCAAATCTAGGTGTAACCTGAAAATTACTGTATGCTGTTCACCCTTCCTAGCATCTCTAGCTACCTGCCTGATGGACTGTATTGGACAAGACTAAAATATTTCCATCATCCAGTACTAAAAAAAGCATGTCTGTCTTTGGATTGCATTCAGGTTTATGTCGAATTCAGTGACAACCTCATTTTCTTATCAGAGGCCAAACTCTAAACCCAAGTTACCTATTAATAAAAGCAAAAACAAACTCCCCAAAACAGATATTGCGGATGAAATTAATATGATTTTTTTCAGAAGAAGTAATCCTTTCATTTCATATAAAATAGGTTATAAATTAAAAGTAACATAAAATATTATTGCATGCAAAATGGTTGCATTCTGAAAATATCACTGGTCTGATTATATTTGCCATTGCTGTATTTTTACAGTTACAGTCAATGCCAGATAATATTGCATGCGAATGGCATCTTTAAGACAGGCAACAGCATACTTCCTAACACCAAAGGGCTTTGCATGCTACTTTCCAAATGATTTTAGAAATACATGATTAGCATTTTGAGTGCCGAGGATAAAAAATAGCTGCTTAAAACCAGACATTAATACTAACACAAAAAAAGACACAGACTGTATTCAGCAACTGAATTAATAGATCCCCAAATGGTACCAGCCTCTAAAGAGAGGTTTGCAAAAGTGTCTGTTTAAACCAAATGTTTTAAAAGCTGCGCATATTCCATGGGGGGAATATAACAGTGTTCTTCCTTGTCCTTAGTTAACAGTCAACAGCTTCAGGTTCTTCCATTTCTTTCTCTCTTGCTTTGTGTTATTCATCTCACCTGCCATCCCTCTACTGCCCGTGACTGTCAATATGCCTGATAGCTCAGCTTCAGGACCTGCTGCCACAATTACTTATACTGCCATAAAAAGCACACTGAATGCCATGTGTCACTTGCTGATTCTGATACAATTTTTGTTTATATACTGCTGTGGTAATCTGCATTAATGAACTGAATATATTGTGTTTCTGAAGAGAGGATGGTATAACAGAGTTCTAGGAAAAGACTCAAGATTTACAGGGGCTGCAAGTGATGGGTGTATATATGTTGCTACAAAAGTGCCTGTTGACCTTGTAATTTTTTTTTTTCCTCCTTCTGACAACCCTAATATTTGTTACTGGTTGAAAGGGGAATGGTGAGACGAAGTTTTATATTTTTTCTATGCATAGAAATGTGCTTGTATTTCAAAGAGAGAAGCAACACAGAATTATCATGAAAACCAATGTAGTTCTAAACACAGTGCTTCCTAATCTGAATATAGTCTGGGATAGTTTGTATTGCAGTATTTGCAGTCAGGGCTGAATTTGTACTGAAGTCATGACACCAGTGTTATGGTTGTGCATATTTGCATAGAGGAGAATCTTACATGTCTCAAAGAGGTCCTCTTTCAGGCCATTGCTGTATGTAACTAGTCTTAATTATGGCCATTTCCTCACCAGTCCTCTCCCTCAGAGCATGAACATCTTGTATTGCTTATTTTTGAAGGTGGGAAGGAAACACCAAAAGACAAACACATCTCTGCTAATGAGCAAGGAAAATGTCTGTTGAGTTTCTGTTCCTTTCTGACAATTACAGATGTCTTTCAAAAAAATAAATGGGGCAGCAGGGGAGCAGAGCAAGGCAGTTTTTGTAGGGTAACATGATCACCTCCTTCTTTGTCTTCCCCAAAAGTAATGTTAAAGTTCTAATTAGCTTTCACTACTCTAGAGGACTTAAAACTAGTGCTTCTCCTAAGCCTATCTTGAAAACTTAAGAGGTGTTGAAGCCAGGAGCTGGCTCTTGATGAGTGGATAAGTTTGAGGGTAAATGCAGACTTTTTGGGTGTAGCTGCAGTCACTCCTGACACAGACTCACTTGAGTGGAGCAGGCAAAGATCTCACTCAGATCTTTCTTTAGATGCTGTATCTCCATCTGTATGTCGGAGGATATGGCAGAAGAAAAGGATAGTTACAGCCTTGGAAAAATTACTTGGAGAAGACCGGGTTGGTGTTTTTAAAGAAGTCCAACTACTAAGCTTCAAGAAAATATTTTAGATTAAATATTTATGCCTAGGTGCTTCGGGCTAGACTAAATCTATATGTAAATTGAGGATTCAGTCCATAACACTATACACTTTGAAGCTGACCTACTCAGCTAAGCACAAAACAAAGCCTGTGAGGTCCTGAGCTTCTATAACCCGCTCTCATCATCCATTTTGCAATCAAAAAACTCATCTTCAGGAGCATTAATGTGAAACAGAATCTAACTTAAGTCTGTTTTCTTCAAATAAGACCAGAGGACTGTGGCTCCCGCTGAATTATAATGCCTGTGGTTACAGTCTCCTAGGCTTCTCTAACTTGAAAATGTGGACATTGCCGCTTACTTTTCTAATGGTGATGGTGCATTCTTATTTCTGTCTTCAAGCAAGCGCAGTGTCACTTCTTTGTTTCCCTAAGTAAATGCTATATGTGGAACTACGGGCATTTTCTGCACCGCTGGCATTTCCAGAGTCAGATTTTCAAATACCTCTGGCATTTCAAATTGATTCATTTCCAGCAATAGACTAATTGCATTCCTTCAGCCAACACTCCAATAGTCTGTGCTGGAGGGATAATGTGTAATAGCCCAGTTTCTAAAGAAGGGAAATGGAAAAGGCAAATTTTCTTGAAGACAGGGTTATAAATGATTGCCCATCATATATCACATTGTTGAGCTTGGAGTAACTTCAAGACTTTAGAACATTTGAAGCATTAGGAAAAAAAGTATCTTCCTAGACACAGAAGAAGAAAAGAACCTTTTTTATCTTTTAATAAATTGCATTTACTTGCATTCTGTTTTCGTATCTTGTTTTGCCACATGCTTTACTGGGAAGTTTAATGGCTGTCATTTAGCTTGATGTGGCAAGTTGAGCTGAAGTTCACTCTCTAAAACAGGACAGGCTAAGGCTGAGGGAATCATACAGGTCTCACTTAAGCTGTGTCCATATTGCCCACTGCAGTGTAGCATACACTACTGAACTATCTTTAAATAAGCAAACCTGATTGTCTGAAGCTTTACTAGCAAGAGCACCCTGGAATCAAGAAGCGGGGTATGTTTGTATTAGCTGTCCGTTATCTTTGTGCTGCTACTGCTAGGCTGCTACACCGGCCCCACATGATTTGCTGAGAGAGGCTTAATGGGTGGATGCTGTTATCAGACAAATTGTATGTGAAAAATAAATGACAAAAGTATATGACAGAATTGAAGAGGATTCAGACAGCATAAAAGGAAAGAAAGCGAAACACACACCCCCCACCTTTTGGAAGTGTTAATTACAAAATATGTAATGGCTGTGTTGCCTGATGAAGGTTACACCATATTTGTAGGATTGTACGAGTAATTAGGTCACATTCAGTAAGAGATCACACTTTCACAAAGCTATGAGACCTGATTTCCAGACTGGCACTGTCTTTTATTTCAATCAGTTACATATAGAAAATCTTGAATGCTCTCATAAAGATGGCACCTGTATTTTGTCCTTCAAATTCACTCTCCCGTTTTGCCCATGCATTTGTTTCTCCACACAGCATTTTTCATGTAAACAGCAATTGTGTACATGAACTGGCAAGCAGGATATCTGTGTCACTCCGTGTATGCATCCAGGTGTCACTGAATGTGTGCGCTGAAGATTTTCTTAATGTATACTGTGTAGCTGAGGATACAGATTTAGAGATGAGGTTTCAACCCCCTTTTGTTTCCAGCCCTGTACCTTTTACATGCACATAACAAGTTTGCCATGTATTTTAAGCACATTTTCTCTTTTCTTTTTGATTTTCAGTCCTAATGCTCTTCCAGAAGAGCAGCCACATTCCAGCTCTCAGTGTGCCCCTCTCAACTGTCTCTCTAAGCCTCCTCCTTACCCCTAATCTTCATACACAACGTAAGAGAAAATGCAGAGTGGAGTTCGTGCAACAAAGGTTGGGGTTGTTCCCAGCAAGCGGGTATACGATCCTGCTTTGTTGCTGTATTGACAAACCTGGATTCATACCTCCTGCTCCAGCGACTGAGGGAAGGTTGAGAAGAAGAACACAAAGCACAGAGCCCAACCTACCAAGAAGACTTTTTATGGTTCCTCTGATTGTATTCAAACTTTGCTATCACAACTAAAGTGTAGTGAAATTTAACATCTTGACAAAAATGTTCCTCCCAGCTGCTTGGCTTTAGCTCTGAAGTAATGAGAGACTTAAGCCAATGTTAAAAAAAGTGTGTTACAAAAATCCTGCCCTCACATCCTCTAAGTTCAGCCATAGGAACCAGTTTAAATTTCCTTCTGTCATTAAGGGTGTGATGTTTATTTCTTACTTTATTTGCACCAGATTTTTGTGTTTATAAAATGCAGTCTCTTTTTTTTTTCTTTTTCTGAGAATTGTATTTAACTGATATTATTTTTAAAAATAAGAGGAATAGCTTAAGTGAGGAATGACTGTGTTAATATTAAAAAGAGGCTTGTTGCATTGGCCAGCATATGGCCAATTTTTATTGCACAAAAGTGTTGGAAATGGGTTGAATTGAAATGTTAGCAATGACTGTATATTTTGCTGTTGCACTGATATTGTTTATGCTCTTGTTTTTTTTAATTCCTATTACAGTAGCTTCTGGTTTTGTTCTAGTTCTTCACTGAAAGATAATTTTTAAGCCTAAGAAGGAGATGAAAGGATGATGTATTCAGTCGTTTTCAGTTGTTTGCTTGCATTGTAATTATTTTGTTACATTTCAGACAAGTAGATGAATTGGTGCTGTTTTGGGGGGTTACTTTCTATTTGGTATCTGAGAAAGAAAATCTAAAGTAAGTAAGATGCTGTGTGCTAATTAAAAACATTCTTTCCTCCTGCTCCCATATTCAGGGTACTAGCTTGAGGCCTTACCTTGAAAGGCTAGTATGAATGGCGAAGTCATATGCATTTCGTGTGAGGTATTCTGTGGTGAAAGGATTTGTGCAAGAAGGGTTAACTGTGTGGATCAAAGTTAGTAGGACTTTGTTGAATATTGTAGTGCATTTTTTCCTTGCCAAAAATCAACAGACACAGAACCTTAGCTCATGTCAGTTTATGACAAATACTCAGGTGATCTACACTACGCAGACTCTATTGCAACAGTGCACAGTGTTCCTAGTTAAAGATTCTTTCCTGTAAAAGCTGAGTATGTCTGGGTTTCTTCTTAAAAAGTAGTGAGTTTCAGAACAAAATCAAGGATAGATATATTTATTTTGCACAGTACCTGACAGCAAGGCCAGCGGCTAAGTAGGGCTAAGTGTCGATGGGCTTCCCGTTTGGTCATCAGCTAGAAAATTAAGTCTGCAGTACTGCCTACCTGCCTACTTATTAGTAACTAGCAGACTCCTTGCTTTGTCAGGTGGCCTTAATTAATTTACAGAAGAGAAGCTTAGGTATTTCCACTTCTTTATTCCTTCTCTGCAGCACACGTTTGACTTGCAGGTGGGAAACACAGTACAGCCTAAGGTACAGAGTATCTGGGGAAAAAAACACACTGCTGCAGGTGTGGTTGGAATAATTCTCTCACATTCTGCCTGAATCTGAGAAAATGAAGTCCGTCTTCTGTTAGTAACAGTGCTTACCAAATGTTACGATATACAAAACATCAGCAAAGGAAAGAATTGGTGACCACTCAGTGTGCCTAACAAATCATTAGTACCATAGTACCAGTAACGAAGGTGCTGTAAATACAAATACTCTATGTCGTCACCAACGTATGTCGTGTAACCTTGGCAAAGCAGCTATTGTAACCGAACATTCAGAGGTGGACAAAATAGGAACAAACTGACATCCAATTCTGGTCAGATCAAACAGACAACACCTGGCAGTGTTTTGACTTCGGTTTCCATGCAGTTTGCATGACTCTTCTCATATACATTTACATTGCTATTCAGTATCATACTTAACCTATGTGTTGTCTTGTCATAAAAAAGTCAAGTGAAACCTTGTTCAGCTTTATCATGTCTGACACTGAGATTAGCTGCTATTTTGATTTTTATTTTTTAAAAAATAATAGTCTGAGGCAAATGCTGCCTCCAAAAAGCATCTCAAAATTCCTGACCTTGTCAGACTAGTGTATGAATATTGTACAGTGGCCACATCTGTGTCCAACAAAGACAGCTACTGTAGATCGTTAAAAAGAAAAAGAAATTGCATTGCACTTTGAATATAGTTACTGCAGGCTGCACTTGAAATATTTTTTCCTATTTTCATACCCAACTCAAATGCATTTTCTCTGAATTTAAGTTAAATTAAAAAGAAATTCAGTGAAATACATTTCCTTTCTATATGGATACAAATTTATTTGGAAAAATGCTGTATTGGAGCAGTTGTTTAGAAACGTATTTGTTTCCAGTTGTGATTTGCAGAGCGATTTTAGGAATTGAAGCATTGTACTAGTATGTTCATGTGGATCAAGAGTTAATGGAACAGCATCCAGTGATACAGAAATTGTGGCCCCATTTTATAGAAATAAGTGGGTTTATTAGATTTTTTTATTCTCTTAAGCTTTAAGTTTTTCATGTCTAAGTTTTCAATTTACATTTTTTTATACGTAATAATACTTAAGTGTTGGAAATGTAAGAGAACTGGAAACAAACCAACTTTAACGTACAAATGGCTGTAGTTATTGTATTGTCAGGTATAAAACTGTAGGTCCCTGGGACAACTTTTGTCAGTTAACCAGTACAAAATAAAATACATATCTTGAATGTGAGATGATACACTCTTCTTTATTATATAATGATTGATAGCATACAACTTTGTGAGAGATTTTGTAGGAAATATTTACGTGCAGATGAACAGAAACAAAAGCCAGGTTTTTGAAGGGTTGCAAAATATTATATTTTGCCCATTTACAATTAATTTATGATGTATTGAAATCTATTCTGATTTTTAAAGATAAAAAAAATTATACATATATTTGTAATGGTTGAGTATACTCAGAAACGCTGAAATGTGTCCTACGCAATAGGGAAGCAATTTAAATCCTCCTCTGACTTTTGTATCTGAAATGCAGCTTTTGTTCTCTATGATGGCCTTGAATTTTCTTTGTGTTTGGAATAGACTGTTCAGTTCTGAGGCATTTTGGTTTGGGTTTTATTTTTGGATGTAGTAAAAAAGTATACCTTGCTCAGTGAAATGTTCCACTTCTGGAAATCCTGTTTATAGGAAACGTGTGGGGAAAAAGGAAAAGAAAAAAAAATTAAATAGGAGAAAGAGATGGATGAGTAAGTACTTTGTAAAATGTAATAGTATGGAAAATATATTTTCTATCAGTCAGAAGATAAACAGAAGAAAATATTGCCGTTTTTCATGCTTATTGTATAAAAGTTTCTGCCTTTTAAAGGAAGGCAATAGTGATATACTTTCTGATTGATCTGATTGACAGACTGGCATCTCTGTGCTTTCTCCATCCACATTTTTCACAGTAAATTAATGTAGTCATAGTTATACATTATAGAATGAAACTGTAATTAACGCTGCAGGTTTTAATGCCAAGATGACTTTCAGTTTCTCTTTAAAAAAAATTGTGAAGTTTTTTTAAACCATTTGACATATCTAAGTGTGAACAGAAAGGAGCTTATGTTATGAAATATAACCTCACTTACAAAATATGACCTCACCTATAAAGGTGCTCACGATAGTTATGTTGGAAATACTTAAATAAGCTGCTAGTAAAATATGGCCCAGTCCTTATCACACTGGGAAGAACACCCCTGAGTCTGGGCCCTATTTTGATACCAACCTTATCATTCAGCGTGCAATGCCAAAGTCAGTAGTTGTGCTACCAATTCCACTATAGCTGGATTAATCATCATCATAAGGTATGATATCAGCCCTTCTGAGGTCTGTTCCTTTCTTGGTGGAAGATGCCTATTCACTGAGGTTACAGTAAATTTCTTTCTTTTGTACTTCAGAAATCTTCAAGTGAAAATGGCAGGCATTGATGTTTTACATTTGAAGTATGATAATTGCTATAGTTACCTCTTTAAAAACTCCAGTCATCACTTTTCTTCAGTTTTCCTTTGCTGTGTATGCAGTGAGTCTGAAAGGGATATACAACATTCAGGCTTTTTTAGCCATTAAGATTTTTATTTTTTTTTTAAGTATAATTAAGCATCCTGCGGAAAAGAAACTAAAAAGCAATTGCCTTTCGCCTTCAGGCACAAATGCATCTTAATATGCAATGTAAAATGCATGCATGAGATTTCTAACATCGTGTAGCTTTTCCATATCTACAACTAAGCTAGAAAATTCTTATTTCTTGATAGATTTGCATATTCTTCCTGCTAGAAAGGCAAGAAAATAATTACAGAGAGTCTGTATCTTTCATTTGGAGGTGTGTGGTTTAAATTGTCATTAGTTTTTAATCTGTTTGCTGTGGAGTTCTTGAAAATCCCCTATGTGAAATCTAATGGCAACCAAGAGAAAACTGTCAAAAGGTAAAGGAAAAATCCTGTATTCTATGACTGGAGTTAATGTGCAGACAGACCCTGGGTGACAGGGCTTTGTGTTTCAAAAATGTCTTTCTACTAAGCTCTGTATTTGTTTTGATTATCATCATGATTTGCTGTAGAAGACATTGGAGAAAAGTGTATGTTTTTTCTCAGTATTAGTAATCCGAGTTGAACAGTTTTTATTGAGTGTATGGTTATTTCAAAAATATTTTGGAAATCAGTTGATTTCCAAGTGGTTGATAAAAGTTTCAAGTAGACTGACTTGCTAGCCGAGTTGTTATTTTATCAGCTGTGAAGAAGAAATAAGAGTAATCTAGCTTTTTCCTCCCCTCCTGTTCACAGATATGGCTATGTGTGCTATGCCAGTGGATAAATTAAGTCCATTTTATTAGTTATTGCCCTATTGATTTTCTGCCCTGTGGTTTGACTGTTAAAGGATTAATTAACTTGATCCTTTGTAAACAATTAAAAAAACCCCAACTGATGTTTTGTGACTTTTGTAACCTATTGAATGTTTCCATTTGCATGATGTTCTGTATCTAACAAATCATACAGATTGCTGTGTTCCTTTGAAAAGAATTTTAACTTTGGTGGAGTTTGTGACAAACACAAATTTGTATACTGTATGTTTACTGCTGTAATAACTCAGCTACTCCTATGTTGAATTGATATTATGTTGTCCTGCCTTCTTGGGGTTAAATGATAGAGTGTTTCTAGGTGGTGAAGAATATAAAAGTATATCTGTTTATTTGCTAAAGACTGAATATTGGAAACTCTTCTTGTTGCTACTTTATGCTAAAAGCAAAAAAAAAAAAAAAAAAGTTAATTAATTCTTGTTTCCAAAAATGCATCATTTGTTTTTCAAATTGAAGTAATTCCCATGTTAACTCTTCGTTGTCCTTGTAGACAATCCTAGATTAATGCCTTGTGAGGGATTCATAAAGTCTGTGCTTGTACATGTGTAATATGATCATGCAGTCAAATGGTTGGGAAAAACACTCTAGTGCTGAAGAAAATAATTAAAAGAAGACAATATACTGATTCGTACATCTTTATGTTCCAATTAAAATTACAGTGTAATGCATAACTGTTCCAGTGAATAAACTGGCCATTTTTGTTCATTTAATGCCATGCTGTCTTGTCTACTTCTATTTACATCAGTTTGCAGTGTGTTGCCTTAGCTAATACTTTTTCATTTATTTAGTTCTTAAAGATCCATAATGGTAAGTTTAAAAGGTATCAGACAAGAAATTAATGGAAATCAACATTAAATCAAAAGGGAATCAGAGCAAAAGTGCTTCCTCTGTGTTCCAAGATTGAAGCAGAAACTAAAATTCTGGCTCTCCACATAGTGTTTCCAACAGATTTGAGTAACATCTGAAATGCTGTGACATCTGCATACAGTCTTCTCAGTACAGAAATGCATTGTAAGATGCAAATCTCAAGCCTCAGGGGATGTGAAAGCAAAGGAAGAACTGAAGTCAGCATAAAATTGGTTTGGGAGGGCTGTGTACAGGACAGTGTACCATACTATCCTACCTGCTTTTTAAAGTGAGAAATATTTTTTTCCCTTGTAGAAGAGCCTTGTTCTCAGCTCACGGGAGTCCAAATCCTGCCCCAGCAGCCAGTCCTGCCCTGCTCTGAGAGCTTGGCCCCAGCAGGCAGGTAGCTGCTGCAGTTCGTCTGGTGAACCTCTCTGCTATGCAGGGTCTTTGAGGGGTAGCAAATGTCCTGCTTTTAGGAACAGGCCAGGAAAAGGGAAGAGCCTGGAGAAAGGACTGCACCTCCAAGCCCACTGGGGTGTTTGACTCAGTGGGAACTATTGGAGGGCTGGATTTGGTTTTGGGTGGCTGGAGAGGTGCTTTGGACAGTAACAGGTGACAGAAATGCAGTTCAAGAGCTGTTACTTGTCTAGAAGTGCCTCCTACTTCTCTCTTTTCTTCCTTTTTCTCTTCTACGAGAGGGAGGTCACCCACCTTATCTCTGTTTATTGCAGAAGTGCCTTTGGCAACAGCATTCCATGATCATTTTAGCAGAAGTATGACTGCTCCTGATAGAATTTTCTTACATTAGGTGTTCCTCCCCTTTGATTTTAGATTAAAAGAGTTTCTAAGAGTTAAAAAAAAAGGGGGGGGGGGGGAGAGGAGGGACCAGACTTCCCCTCCTCAGTGTATTTGTTTTGATATCAGTTTCGCAGAGGATTGCTCCTTGTGTGAACATTCTCATAGCAGAGTTGATTTGAGAAATTTCTAATCCATGTTGTTCCTTTCCCTTCCTCTGTATCACCCCTTCAGCTGGTCCTGTGCAGCTCTCTGAGAGGCAGTGGTATGAGTAAGGTCACTGAAATAGTCTGGGCAAAATAAAAAACCTCCAAAACTGCATGTTTTGTTTCCAAATGAAATGTCTGTGTAATAACTCCCCGGAGGAGCACCATTACCCCTTGTTCTGGAGCAGGAGGTAATTTCTGACAAATGAACTATTGTTTTTCCTAGAAAATATACCAGATGAAAATAGGAAAGATTCCAAAACTAAAGTTTACAGTGACTGCCACTACAAGTCTTTTTTTTTTTCAGGATATCACCCTTGATAAATGCTGCAATGACACTTAGAGAAATACAGAGCACTCCAAGTTATATCTAAAGGCAGCAGGCACCATGGTTTGACTCTCTTAACACCACAAAGCATTGACAGGCCACTGGCAAATCAGGTTGAGCACAAGAAATCACTACATAATTTTCAGCAATGTTGAAACCTAGATTTCATGAGACCAATAGCAAGAACAGAAGTACTAATTATGAAGTGTGCCATGTCAAAGGACCTGACATCCACATCTAGCAGCCTGTGAATGACAAATGTAGAAAAGATTTTATATATAGAACAAAATGAAGGAAAATTGAGCTAAAATAGATAATAATAATTATGTGCATCCTGGGAAAAATACTTGGAATAAAGCCAACTTTCATCTATCTGTGTATGCTAAAGGCATAGGCACAACTGCTTTCCTCTCAGTGGAAGGTCTGACCGATTGCCTGCATGAAAGAAGAAAGCCCTAACTTTGCACAAAAGTAAGGCTCAATACTACAGCTGACGACTCAGCAGAAGCTTAATAACCCAGTAAAAAATACCGACCTTTACAAAAATGATTCCTTCTTGACTAGACCAGTATATTAGAAAACACACATTTCACACATTATTTATAAATTCTCTTATATCATATTGGAGATAGCCTAACTTCAGGAATAAGATGTGGTAGGTGGTTTTAGAGAAAAACAAATGTTTAAATTATTGTTATAATAATACATGATTGAGAAAATGTTATTTATGGAAAAGCTCCAAATGGGGGGGGGGGAAGAAGTCCTTTCATCTCTCTTAAGTGAGTTACCAGGAAACTCTGGAAATAATTAGCAATACAGTTTATAGTATCATAGAATACCAGGTTGGAAGGGACCTCAAGGTTCATCTGGTCCAACCTTTCTTGGCAAAGCGTGACACAGACTAGATGTCCAAGCACCCTGTCCAGCTGAATCTTAAAAGTGTCCAGTACTGGGGAGTCCACCACTTCCCTAGGGAGATTATCCCAATGTCTGAGTGTTCTCATTGTGAAAGAATTTCCTTTTGTGTCAAGTCAGAATCTCCCCAGGAGTCTTCTCCATGTGACTCCTTTAAAATTAATTCGTATGATTCCCTACCTGGGGAGGGCTGCCAACTTTTTATTAGTGTTGATTAAACTTTCTCAATTAAATTGATTTTTGCTATTTGATGCTGGCATATTGGTTAAGGCATTAAAACAAGCCATCTACTCAAATTAGGAATATAATATGGAAAGCTATGTGACTACAGAACTGCTTTGAAGATCAAAATCTGAATGCAGAGGATGTGGGCCCAATATTTTGTTACCCTTCACAGAGATGGGAAAGGGCTATAATCACAGGTGAAAAAGAGCTACTGTTTTCTCAGCACACAGGTGTGTGTCTATCCCCCTATACATGACTAAATGTCAGAAACCTCTCCTAGAGATAGAAAATGTCTGTAAACTTAGATGGCTCAATGCTGATCCACCCAAGGTAGCTCTTTCTACAGTGATAGTTTGTTAAAGCTGTAAGATGAAGCAGCAGCTGTCCTTTGTAGGTATATGGATGCTACCATCGGGCCCTACACCAGAATCAGGTAGGGTTTCACTCATATCATCCACAGGTGGCTGTAAAACTTGTTTTGACCTGAATGAATGGACCTGCCATTCAGTTCATTCCTTTGAAACTGGATTTAAAGAGATCCCTGGGTTGGAGCAAAGCACCAAGGACTTCAGTGGGCTCCATCTGGATGTTGGGCATTTATCTGTGTGGAGCGGATGATGGGACTCTGGGCATAGCAGAGAGTATCTCATGCAATGTGAAGATGTGAATGATGAGTGCTTTCGTGATCAGCTTCAGCCATCCAAAATGTTAAATTAGAACTTATATAAATGCACTGTATACAAATACCAGCAATCTCAAAGTCCTACCTTACTCAAAACCAGAATGCCTCTGTGAAGCCGTTACTGCTTTCAAAGGTTTTTGTTACCTAAGCCAAATGCAGAGTAGCTCTTTTTATCTTCAAAGCACTCTATGCATATTAATTCCTTCCCAAAACATCTTTGCAAAATGGGTACTGTTATCTCTCACCTACAGATAGACAAATTGAGACTGTGTGATGGGAAAACATCAACACTCAACAAAGTGAACCAAGTTTCTTTACATGTAACCCTTCACCTCTCCACATACATCCGCCCTGCACTCACTGAGCAAGGTGAGGTTTTTTGTGGTACCTGTGGTACATACCCCACTCCAGAACCTGCATTGCTCAAGTGCTAGAGTTCGTGCAGAGCTCGTTCCCTGTTTCTGCAGTGTTTGGTATTAATAGATCCTTGCTATAAATAGCTGTAGTTTAACATCCACTTTCCGGTTTTAATTTCCTTAGACCTGTGCCCTCCTTCTGACTGTAAACCAAAAAGGCACTTTGACTCACTAGACCCAAGAAGAAAACATTGCCTAAACATGGGAAAACTTTTCTTCCCCCAGCAGTGTTAGCCCAGTAAAATATAGATATTCTTTTTCTGGTAGAGAACTTGGGATTTCCTTTAAAATGACTGCATCCTTTTAAAGCTTGTGTTAAGAATCATGAATATAAATCTGTGACAGAGGCCAAATTAAGATTCTGGAATTTCTGAAGTTTCAGACTCCTCATCTATGCGGTTATGCTTAGTACTATTTATGCTTGAATAAAAAAGCACAGCACACTTCGTAATGGTAAACTTACAGCCATTTGCAGTGCATAAAGCTTCAGATGTGTACTGTAAAGCTTACTGGAAGTATTGAGTTCCATTAGTGTTAGATCTCTGGAGGTAAAAATACATTTTTAGAAATATGAATGGAATGCTATTTTTGAGATTCGGGACACAAGAACAAGTGGAATAGGGGTAGCATTTATATCCTTTTCACAGCCTTTGCTCCAAATAATCACATTTCATCCCAGAAAGATCCAAGGGAGTCTGTGGAATGTGGAACAGAATGAAAGAAAACAAGTGTGGATGAAGCTAGTCTGCAAATACAGCAACAGCTTTGAAGTTGCTCTGTTTTAAGTCACTATAAATTATTGAGAAGCACACTGAAACTCCCGTGCATGTACCATATGCCTCATTAGAAGCAATATTAAGTACCTGACAGCTTGGTTTTTATAATAAGGAAAAGAAACAAAGTTAAGAGAATACTGCAATATTAAGATTGGTATTCCAGAGCTGGAAGTAATAGTTACACTTTACCTTTCACATGTTTTGCCAGCCAATTGCTCTCCAGGTTTTGATTTGTTAAGGAGAGAACCAAACTGTTTGGGTAAGCATTCACAGAGAGACAGTGGTTAATATTTAATGTATATAGCACCTTAGCAGTACAGGGCTCTTTAAACAAAGTACAATTCCATGTTATAGCTTAGGCTAGGCATTGGGGATAAGTGTAAAACAATGGCAAAGAGCACTTCATTTCATGGTCACACGTTTCCATGAGGACAGAGCTACTCTCAGCTGCAGCCTTTCCTGGATCTTACGAATCCCACGTAAGGAGCACACCAGAGAAAGAGCTTATAGCAGTCACG